TTCACCGGCGTCAACGTGTGGTGTACAGTGAGTGGGATGGTCTGCTTTAGTATATATTGTTGTGTGTTGCTCCTGGGGTAAAACACTACATCTTTTTTCCCACTAGACCGTCAGAATTAATTCCGTATTTACCTTAGACTATTATACTTTATAGTGAAAGTATAATAACATCAATCAAACTTAATCTATACAGTTTTATAATTCCTGACGATATTGAAGCATTTAAGTTCATAACATCACAGGTCACTTATAGGTCACAGGTCACACTGAGAGGTTACACTCATAGGTCAAAGGTCACACTCACAAGTCACAGGTCACACTCAAAGGTCAAAGGTCACAGGTGAGGTCATATACCGAGAAAGAATAAATAAAACAACCCTATAAAATAACCTGAACCATAAAGTCAATGATAAGAAATAATGCCGAGGCGAGTTATACCGCCTGATTCTATTAACATTAGTCAATAGCATAATAGCAGTGTGTCCAGGTGAGACAGATATTTTAACACAGGGGCCAATAGCTCACAAACACAGTGTTGCCAATGAAGCGTAAGACCAAGAGTTGAGTTAGGTGATTGTGGTAATTTATGTCTATCCCTAAAACCATAATATTGTCTAAGTTAAATTAAAGGTTAGTTTATATAAATTATGTAACTCACTGACATAATCTAGAATATTAAAAAAATGTCAAACTCACAGAAAATACAGAGTTACACGTGTTAAACCTGTAATACACACGTACAGAACACAAAACAAACCTCCTGTCTGCACCAGTTAAGTAGATTATGTCATGACAGATGAACTAGGCAGACATGTCATGCGTCAAACACAAAAGCTGGAGAGATAAAATAGTCGACTGTGACATTGTGCTTTTATCCAAAATACAAACTTTCAGTGAGCGAGGCGGAATGTTGTATCAAGGGAGACATATTGTTTGATAAGCTAGAATGTGAACAGTTGTCAAGATGATTCGTCTAAAATTACCTCCTTGATATTTACGTAAAAAAAAAGATCGAACGAGAGGAAGATTATCACATACATAAGTAATATTACCACAGCACAAGATACCCAGGTGTGTGTGTGTGTGTGTGTCTAGAGTAGGTGTGACGTTGTTGATGATGTGGTGGGAAATATATATAAAATTAATTCGGAAATCGGTCACCAGGGGGAAGGTATTATCTCTTAACCAATACTGTTATTTAGGTGTTACTTGTCTTAATATGTCTCAAGTTAGAGTTGAATCAGTAGATGAGTCATTGAGACATTAAGTAAACATAAACAAAATTATCAAAACAAACACAAAATAATATAAACGAATGCAAACAACATAATAAAAAAACAGGGCAAACAAATTTATAAAAGCAAATGAGAACAGATGCAGGACTGAGGTGGGCGCGAGGATGAGTGGTTGGGGTGGGTGGGTGGGCAGTGGGTGGTGCCGGGGTGGGTGAGGAGGTGGGTTGGAATAACCTGTATCACTGGGCTCTCTCTCTCCGTCAGGCGGGATAATCACACGTGAGACTAGACGGCCTGGCTCCTCCACTACCCCTACCAGGAGAGACAGTCTTATTTTTTGACCCCCTGCAGGAGAATGGATTCCCTGGATTAACCCTCCTCCTCCTGGGTGAAGATTCCAGGGAGGACGTAGCAGTTTTTTTGTGGACTCAGCTCAGCTTCCTCAGGGCAAACAAACGGCAGTGGACTTAGGCATTATAATACTCAAAGGAACATTCCACATTTAACATGGTATTTTTTACTGTTTTTATATCACTGGCGTTCATTACTGTTCAGAGCTTTTAATCCCCAGGAGTTGAGTTAGTCTTGGAAAGGTCTTAATATCGAGTGGCTCAGCTGTAAGACGTCTTGAGAATCCTTTTTTTTATAATATCTGACTAAAATTCCTTCTTATCCTCTATGCGTAATTATATTCCATAAAGGCAAAGTGTTCTTCCATTACTGTAACAAGAGGAAGGGCGCTCATAATTCGGCCAGAGATACTGAGGGTGAATTAGAGTGCATGACTTTGTGCTTAGTTCTTACGAGTGAGAAACTGTTACTGTAATACTCGAGACATTGTGTATCATGAGTGTGTGCGTGTTGGGGCGCTGCAGGAGGCACGGGTGTAGGGCGTCAGTACCCCCCTGTCGCGTGACCAGCTGAACACACGACCCTACACCCTCGTCAGGTCAGTTTTAAGAAGCGAGGTATTATATTTCTCAGTTATTCTTGAAATATCATCCTTCATCTGTTATGTTCGGACGAAGGCTGTCAGCACCAAGGCATAACAAGACGGTGATGTAGCTGGTTGTGTACATCTGTCAGTCTGAGTTGTGTGTGTGTGTGTGTGTGTGTGTATGTGTGTGTGTGTGTGTGTGTGCGCGTGTGTGTGTGTGTGTGTGTGTGTGTACCTCGATCAAGGCTAGGAATCAGAGGCATCACAGTTCTCGTGTTCGCTGGCGGCGCTTTCTTCTGAAAATGTCGAGGCCGAAATTAAAAACCTGTTCACTCTAAATTTTCCGGTGATTGGTGAGGGTAAGAGGTGGGTGGTGGGGGATGGGGGTGGAGGTGATGAGGGGGAGAGGGGTGAATAATGAGGGAGGGAGAGAGAGAGGAGGAGGGAGATATTACAACATTGATGTAGGAGGATTTAGCTGTACCCCAGACAACTGTGGAAGCATTGTCTCAGGCTCGTTGTTGGGAGAGAGAGAGAGAGAGAGAGAGAGAGAGAGAGAGAGAGAGAGAGAGAGAGAGAGAGAGGAATTTATCAAATGTTAGTCAGCCTCGTCTATCTTCAGGGATTTACCAAAGGAGGATCAAGACCAGTGAGTGATATTAAACTGAAGCTTGTGTAAGACTCAATCTATTCTACAGACTGTGGGGAGGTCCTTCTCTCTCTCTCTCTCTCTCTCTCTCTCTCTCTCTCTCTCTTTTTCTGAACGAGTCATTCACCACAATTCTTGGTTTGGACAGGAAAGGTAAAGGTTCAAGCATTCTTTTGTATTGTAACGAACACAACAAACATCTTGGTCTGACAGTTTCTCTCACAGTATTTCCAAGGGTTTGTTTTCTATCAGTTCTGTGTTGTCTTAGAGGAAAGGTTATTCAAGGATATTAAACATGTATTGAATCTCAAGACTAAATAATTCCTTCCTGATACTCCATATTTATTCATAGTATTATTTCGTTATCGTCGTCTCTTCTATTTCCATCTTCTATTAGTTTCATTATCTCTCTCAATGGTGATTTTGTCATTTTTTTTTCTTCATTTTTTTTCAGTTTCCCCTAAAAATCATCTCATCTCGATCTCTTTGTGTCTCTTCCTCCCATTTTTTGCCCTTAGTTTTTTAGTCTTCAGAAGAACCACATCTTTCATAGCCTTATTTTTTTGGGTGGGTGGGGTGGGCTGGGGGTGGGTTGAGTGGGGTGGGGTTAGGTGGAGTTGGGTGGGGTGGGGTTGGGTGAGGTGGGGGTTGGGTGGGGTTGGGTGGGGTGGGGGTGGGGTGGGGGTTGGGTTGGGTTGGGTGGGGTGGGGTGGGGTGGGGTTGGGTGGGGTGGGGTTGGGTGGGGTGGGGTTGAGTGAGGTGGGGTTGGGTGGGGTTGGGTGGGGTGGGGTGGGGGTGGGTTGGGTTGGGTGGGGGTGGGGTGGGGTGGGTGGGGTGGGGGGTGTTAATAATCTGGAGTGACCAACTTATGCCTCATACCCTCATCCTTCACCACTAACACCATCTTCTCCCCATTTTCTTTCCTCCTAACCTACCCTATTTTCTTTCACTGACCCATCATCCCATTTTTCTTTCACTGACTCATCTCCCGTTTTCTTTCACTGACCACATCATCCCATTTTCTTTCATTGACTCATTATCATTTTTCTTCCATGACCCATATCCCGTTTTCTTTCACTGACCATATCCCGTTTTTCTTTCACTGACCCATATCCCGTTTTTCTTTCACTGACTCGTTATCCCATTTTTCTTTCACTTTATTACATATCCACGTTTTCTTTCACTGACCCATCATCCGTTTTCTTTCACTGACCCATATCCCATTTTCTTTCACTGACCCATCATCCGTTTTCTTTCACTGACCCATATCCCGTTTTCTTTCCATGACCCATATCATTTTCTTTACTGGCCCATATCCGTTTTTCTTTCACTGACTCATCTCCCGTTTTCTTTCACTGACCCATATCCCGTTTTCTTTCACTGACCCATCATCCCGTTTTCTTTCACTGACCCATATCCCGTTTTCTTTCACTGACCCATCATCCCGTTTTCTTTCACTGACTCATCTCCCGTTTTCTTTCACCACAACCCAACCAGATACCATTTTTCTTACGTGTCCCCCCAAAATCTTTCACCTCATTTACTCTTTCTTCATCATTACTTCAATACATAAAACCACGGATACCCGACAATCATTTAGACATCATATACTTTCATCAGGGATCTTCTTCTTCTTCTTCTTCTTCTTCTTCTTCTTCTTCTTCTTCTTCTTGCTCTCTTGGTTACCCCCAGAGTCTCGTTTAATCATCTCAGATCTCGGGTGATATTTCGTGTTTTTTTTATTCTCTCGGTAAATAGAAGGAAATCAGGTTATTAGTTCGACAACCTAGATGGAGAGGAGGAAAGGTGTGTGTGTGTGTGTGTGTGTGTGTGTGTGTGTGTGTGTGTGTGTGTGTGTGTGTGTGTGTGTGTCTAGTCTTAACGAGGTGACCTGGTCTCTTTCATCTGTAGTATCATGTGAAGATTACTGCTCCCCAGTTTAGTTCCCTGATGTAATACTTAGCAATATCGTTTGGGGGTTAGGTGAGGTTAGGTTAGGTCTGTGAATAAAAAGTTAAAATAATCTCGGGTGTATAATCTTCATGTGATCACATATATGTATACCGGTATAATTATATACGTATAATTTAAAGCAATAAAGCTTGATAATAATAATAATAATAATAATAATAATAATAATAATAATAATAATAATAATAAATTTTTCTACCTTTTTCAGTTTGACGGTGTGCGTGATGTGATACCTTGGCTGCCCTGAAGGATTGAACTTAAGTGATAACTACCTACTCTTTCCTCAAGTAATACTCGAACACAATGAAAGAGATCTTACCTTAAAAAAAACCCCAGTAACATTATGTAACTTACGTATAATAATATCTGGTTAGAATTAAGTGTAAAAAAGAAACATTGAACATTGTAAAGATACTAAGTTACTTTGTGTGAATCTTACTAGAAAAAAGGCATTTGTGAGTATGTGTGTAAATACCTGCATGGTGAATATACTGTGTCATTGGTGATTGGCTAACACAGACAAAATCTTCGCAATAAGGACCCGGTTATAGATTAAACCATTTTCTGCCAGTTTCATATTCGCTACATTATAAAAACAAGCAAAAACATAGACAAACAAACAAGTGACTGGTATATACACTATCCATCATTTAATCTGCTCAACACACACAAAAATAATGATGAAACAGTTGTAATTCATCAAGAAAAAACGAAGAACCACCCCCCCATGGAATGAGGCCCAACGCCCCCTTCATCTTGGAACAACGATCAGACGTGTTGTAAGTTGTCAAAGACGGCACTGAGAAGACACCGTGACAAGGCCTTACCCCAGGAGGACACAAAGGGGGACAAAATTAATCTAGCGTGTAACGAGTTAGCTGGCTACACCTTATTAAGAAAATTACGAAACACACGTAGTTCATAACAGATAGGAAGGAAGGAAGGAAGAAAACACGAGAGGGAGAGATAGAGAGAGAGTGAGAGATAGCTGGTAATGGCACTGTTCCGGTGCTTGGAGTGAGTGAATACAATTAAGGCCTCGCTCACAAGAGGAAAATGTTGAGTTGGATCCTAGCTAGAAATTCTTAGGATCTGGAGCCGGGGATAACTTTCTTCTCCTTGATGTTTGTTTAAAGAAAATGTAATCTGGTGCGTGAGGAGGAGCGAGGGGATAAAAAAACACAATAGTTATTCAAATTAATACAAGATGAGATGTTTTTTCTAGATCGAAGTTGATGAGTGATGAAGGAAATTGAATCGTGATTGAAAGAGACTGTTTTTAACCCAAGAGAAAATTTAAAGATTAATTTGGACGTGTTTTGCAAAGACTGATGTTAATTTAGACTGAGATGTAAACAGTGTGTGTGTGTGTGTTGTTGCTGTCATGTTGCAGAATGTCCGATGTTGTAGTCATGTTACAGGTTAAATATAACATTATATCACCCACTAGAGGTGACGGGTTACTCTTTAACATTGACTACACAGCACAGACAGAACAAGAGTGGATGAATACAAATTACGTCATGTTAATCTAGAACCTGAAACTAAGGCAATGTTCCTCATTTACCTCAACCATCAACATCCCCCGAGAGATTAATGGATATAGAAAAAAACAAACATAATTAAATACTAAGTGAATCAAAGTGAATAAATCAAATAATTCTTAAAATATCATCAATCATTTATACTAAGAACAATGTAAAATGAAGAACTAAAGTGAGATAAATTTTCATAATATACGAAGGTTAAAGACAGTTTGTGAAAGAACCTTAAGTACTGTATAAGGAAGCGGTAGATAGAGGGGCGTGGTACAACCTTTTATCTTAACCAACGAGCTGAAAATAACGAAGACATAATGTTGCCAACACCTGGAGCATTAATGAGACTCACCTGCTGCGTGTTGCTCCTCCCACATGGCCTCACACACGCCGCTAAGAAAGGTGGGTGGTTTTTATTTATTTTTATTTGTTACTAAAATATATAATTTTTTCTTTTTATATATTGTTTTTTTTTTAAATATAGTGTGTGTGTGTGTGTGTGTGTGTGTGTGTGTGTGTGTGTGTGTGTGTGTGTGTGTGTGTGTCGTTAGCTTCCAGCCGCCTTGATCAGTGTTAGCCAGACCGTGTGGTGAGTGTGTGTGGTAAAGTGGTGAGTGTGTGTGGTAAAGTGGTGAGTGTGTGTGGTGAGCAGCCAGCCAGCCACCCTCGACCCACGGTAAATGTAGCGATGGTTAGGTCTTGATCACCCTTGTTCAGTGATCCGTAACGAGGAAAGACGAACTTTTTCCTTCTTTACACAACATACACACACATACACACACACACACTCTCTCTCTCTCTCTCTCTCTCTCTCTCTCTCTCTCTCTCTATCTTCCAGTTTTACCTTAATTACCCTAAATTACTGAAGAGAGAAGACAAGGGATACTAATTGCCTTAATCAGTGTGGTGGGGCCCTCAGCACCGCATCAGTAGGGAGCAAGATTCTGAACAATGAATTTCATCCAAACTTTTGAGGTGGTGAGAGTAGGGGTGAGAGGGGTGGGGGGTGGCAGTAAGGGGGTGGGGTAGGGGGAGGGGTAGGAGGAGGGGTGTATAGTATATAGTGTATAATCCCAAACATTCTTCATTTTATTTACACTTTCTTATACACAATTAACCATAATATCTATACCATAAACACACAATATAATACTTAACACCATCTAATTCTTCCCCCCTCATTCCACCCTCGACGTATCGTGAATCAGTCAGTGAATAAGATAAATAAATTCGTTTATTTTTATATGTGCTTCTGGTGATAGAGACAGAGATATGTTGTGATGTGAGGGAGTCTGGTGATAGAGACAGAGATATGTTGTGATGTGAGGGAGTCTGGTGATAGAGACAGAGATATGTTGTGATGTGAGGGAGTCTGGTGATAGAGACAGAGATATGTTGTGATGTGAGGGAGTCTGGTGATAGAGACAGAGATAGGTTGTGATGTGAGGGAGTCTGGTGATAGAGACAGAGATAGGTTGTGATGTGAGGAAGTCAGTGTTCGCTAAATAACATTAAATCGGCATAAATATAAAAATCCTGTGTTTATGACTTGGTTGTTAACGCACAGTGGAAATAAAAGTCAGATGCTGTGTATAATAATTCCATTTATTAATATTTGTTGCATATTATAGTTATTGTTTGTGTGTTAAAGGCTTAATAAATATCAGTAGATGATTAGTAGAGAAGTTTAGATAGATTTATATGAATGTTTATGATGTGTAATTGGTTTATATTGTGTGATTGTTATACTGAGGATAATAATATGTATATAAAACCAGTCAGAATCGTGTGTGTGTGTGTGTGTGTGTGTGTGTGTGTGTGTGTGTCTGTGTGTGTGTATGTGTGATAATCGTAATTGTGTTTTTTTCGTGTCATAAACAAGAATATATCCCCCAGAAAAATGATTTAAATTACATCTTTATTGAAGACACTATCGACGTCGACAGTTCTATAATGAAAGACATATTAAACCTACGGATCATCGACCTTAATGATACATAAATGGAGACAGTGGGAGAGTCGACACCTGGTACCCTAATTAACCTCCTCCTTCTCACCTGACCTCACACACCTCCACTGTACTTTTTTTATTATATACCCAAAGTTTTTTCTGTTTTTTTTTATTTAAGGTAAGACTCTGAGGAAATAAATGGCTTGGCTTTGCAGCTTTCTTGAGTTCTTGCACGGCTTAAAATGTACTTAAATCTTGCCCTAAGTGTCATCGTTGCGTGTAACTTTTGAGACGGAGTTGGCGTCCTTCCAGCTAAGTCCTCACCGCCCCAAGAAGATGAAAACAAAAGAAAACAAAAGTAATATTCCCTTACCCAGATCATGAAACTCCTTAACGAACGTAATTTAATCTAACTTTTGGATGAAACTGTCAACATCTGCTTGAAGAATTACCTTATTTTTGTTGAGGAATTTGTGTAATTTCTTCTTTTTTTAATAAGTTACGAAATGAAATCATCTTAGTTTGGGTATTATAATCAGAATTTTTATTTTTTTGTTATTTTTTTGACATAACATTATCATAGTTTTTAGTGTATTTATTATTATTATTATTATTATTATTATTATTATTATTATTATTATTATTATTATTATTATTATTATTATTATTATTATTATTATTATTATTATTATTATTATTATTATTATTATTATTAATTTTTTTTTACATAATATTACTATAATAAATTTTCCCGGATATTTTGTTTATTTAAATTGTTATCCGGAGACAATTTTGATTTTTTGTGGATAATTAAAGATATTCATTGATGGATTAATGTTAAATTTAATTATGAAGTGGATAATTGAGGGGTATAAGTGGATAAGAATAAAGAGAGATAGAGGATTATTGATAAAAGTAAAAAGAAAGGAAAATATATTAAACTAATGAAATAAGTCACTTACAAACATAAAAAAACCTAAAAGTATTAAGTGTTAAGTAATAAGTGTTAAGTAATAAGTGTTAAGTAATAAGTGTTAAGTATTAAGTGTGGGGTTAAAAAGAGGTGACAGTAAGTTAGGTTGTAAAGGAGAGTAACGTAGAAGGTAAAACATCGTTCCATTACTCCAACAAAGGCCTCGTAAAGGTCAGGTCAGGTCAGGTCAGAGGGTGGTGATAATGGTAGTGGGGGGGAAGTTGACACAGTCTTACATAAGTTCTCAATATGACCTGAGTTCACCTGTTAAAATCCAAGGTGGAAAGTTAATTTACATGTTAATAAAAGTATGAAAAAATTTACATGTAGTGAAGTTAATGTTAATAGAGAATTATAGAAGGAATTTACTTTTTTTTGTTTTTTTTTGTAATTAAGTAAACATGATTTCTGTAGGATGATCAAGTAACTCACAAGTCTCTATGTTTAACAGGGCGATTAAAACGAGTATAAGACAAGGTAGATGAGGGGGTGACAATGGTACCACCTGAACGAGAGACTATGAGGGCTGGTGGATGTTCTTTGTTACTGACTAAAAAAGTGAGGGAGGGGGTGAGGGTAGGGGAGGAGGGTGGGGGTGAGGGTAGGGGAGGAGGGGGTGGGGTGGTGATGGGAGTAGGAGGAAGAGGGAAAAGAAAGGAAGGAAGGAGAAAAGGTGAGGAAGTGAGGGGAGGGGTGAGAGGAGAGAGAGGTAGGGAGGAGGGGTGGGGTGGTGATGGGAGTAGAAGAGGGAGGAAAAGGAAAATAAAGGAAGGGAAAGAGAAAAAGGTGAGGGGAGGAAAATAGAGAAAGAGTAGAAAGGGAAAGAAAGGAAGGAAGGGAGGAAAGGAAGGGAGGAGGGGAGGTGGTTATACCGGGAAGGATCATATTTTTGCCGTTTCTTGAATACTGCCATAGTGTATCCAGAGAGGAGGCATATTGATCTACTTGTGCCTCTTCTTCTTCCCCATGTAGGCATTTTCCTCCCTCCCACACATATATTTTTTATTTTTATTACTGGATGGCCCCTACCCCCCCCCCTTTACCCCCTAGCTCCCGTCCACCACCTCCCCTCTCCCTCCCTCCTCTCCCATCCCCACCCCACCTCTTCTCCACCCTCCCACCTACTTCCCCACCCCACCTCCATTTCCCATCTCCCACCTCCTCCCTCCCACCTCCCTCCTCCTCCCACCTCCTCCCTCCCCTCCCCCCCCACCTCCCAACCCTCAAAAAAGTATTCAGCTCAAATCAAAGAAACAATTTATTTCTTTTTATTATACAAACATAGAATACATCTGATTGTTTGATTTTTTTTAAATGTTTTGTGTTTATTTTTTAATACAATGTTTTTCATAGTAAGGATTTATATATACAGTTTTGTCTCAGTGTTGTATAAAGGTGCAACACTCACACACACACACACACACACACACACACACACACGCACACACACACACACACGCACACACACACGCACACACACACACACACACACACACAAACACAGGTCCATGTTGTGTGTTACATCTAGGAAGGGCCATATTGTGTAGATCTGGAAGGGCCATATTGTGTGGAGCTGAGAGGGCCAGGTGTAGATCTGGGAGGGCCCTATTGTGTAGATCTGAGAGGGCCATATTGTTTTCATTCCTGGTTCTTATTCTTTTTGCTTTTCTTCTTCTTCTTATTCTTCTCTTCTTTTCCTCCTCCTGCTCCTCGTCATCCCTTCTTCCTTCCCCTCCTCCTCCTCCTCTTCTTTCTCCCTCCCTCCCGCTCCTCCCGAAACTTCACTCCCTCCCGAGCAATTGAGAAGAACCAACACGAGTTCATCTGGTTGAGGCCCTCCCGTGACCTAAGTGTATCAGGGAAGGTATTTGCATTAGTCCAAGTGTCACGATTACTCACTCCCAACTACTCCCTGAGGTACTTACGACCGACAACACCAGGGAGACGTTTCTCTAGTTCTCTCAGCAGTACCAGGGAGACAGGACAGTTCTCTAGTTCTCTAACGTGACCTGAGTTAGTTATGTGAGTGTAGTTGATGTGTTCTCTCTTACTAGCTAGTTATGACTCCAGACACTGTGATGTATTAGATAAGTTCAGGGGAGAGAGAGAGAGAAAGGGGGGGGGGCATTACTCGAACAGGTCAAGGGAGTTCAAACCCATTATCCACAACACAGATTTAAGACACGTTCAACTCTTGTCTCGTATTTATAAAATATATTTGTACTAGAATGGAACTTGAAAAGAATGTCAGGTTGTCGACAGTTATTGGATTTTTTTTTTATTATACGCTGCAAACTGTCATTCCAATTTGACCACTTTTGTATTCACTATTTTGGTACACAGAGCGAATCGGACGCACCTGCCACACTGTATCTAATGACTTTACACTATTTAACTTCCTATTGGCTAACATGGGCGTGTGTATTAATTTTTTTAGTAACTTAATTATAATGAGAGAATATTTAATTACCTGTGTAT